CGTCATAGTAATGGCTCTCCTGAGTTGGATGAATTTTTTTCTTTGTTTCATATTTTTTTCTTAGAGAAAATTTTATCTATTCAAATCGCTCAGGATCGCAAAAATGAAAACAATCGACAAAAATCAATCAAGGTTCAAGACTTAAGTGAAAAAATTTTCTGAGAAAAACGTACGGCTCCACCGCCCTACCGCTATTCGAATGGTTAGTTGAATGGTATCCATTGACTCCTGTCATTCATCGATATCCACGTGAAAAATCATTCAAGAGAAAAGAAAACAGTACTTCCAGGGCAACTCCGTGTATTGGCGTCAAGAATGGTGGGTAAATCGCCTAATTTTAACAGCTTCGCTCTTTAGTAAGGATGGGCCGATACCGATACCAAATGTCCTATACCAGCGATACCAAGGTCCGAACAAAAAATATCGATACTAGCGAAGAGTATCGATTCTTTCGATCTCGGGATCGTGCATGTGCGCATGTGCGCGCAATGTAGGATTGCCGCAGTGTACCTGTCAAAGTAGCAGCTTCTTCCATTCCCTAGTACACAACATTTCATTGTGAAATAAGACCCGATTTTATTAACTGTAAATTTAATGTCACTCAGTACAACGGCAACAAAAGCACAACTCACAACAATCCAGGCCTTACAAGGACATATCTGGAGTACCAAAAATGAGTTTCAAACTATTATGCCTGCTTATTAAAGAAAACCTAGAGCAAGGAAAGCACCGAGAAAGGTTAAATAGGTCTAAAGTTGGGCACGTGTGTATGGTTCTGTCTGCCAAGGAGTCCCTGATGTATCGAGTATTGAAGCGCAGGATCCATAATAAGTCGGGCACCCGTGTTTGATTATTATTAGTGACCCGTGCAGTAACTGATAACCTTTCATTGTACGCCTTATGATCATGAATGCAAGTAAAAGTTGCAGATTGCTTAATATAGAAAGTAGAAAGATTGTACCATTGCGGTCTTCATATCCTCGGTAAAACTAAGTGAGTCCCAATTAAATTGAGAATTTTGACTTGTTTGACTGTCTTGTTGATGCTACTATAGAGAACTGAACGGAAAACCGTGCGAGAGTGCCTTCATTTAGTCAATCAGATTATATGACGTACTATTTATTTTGATGACGTCACAGTATCGGTATCGAAGAAAAAAGTAAATATCGTACTCGTTATCGTACCTGTTCGAAAATATATTTTCTGCTGGTATACACAGTTTACAGTTCATTTACAGTTTGTTTCATTGTTGATTCTATTCACTGTAGGACACGCCATTTGGGGCGTGTCCCCTGGGTATTCCTGATTGGTGTGGTTTCAGTATTTATAGACGGTTCAGGGTGATTTAGTCCTCTCACTCTAGCTTTCCACGCTGACATCGAAGTTGTAGCCCCACCCGCC